GGAAAAAAACAGGCCTCGCGATGGTTTGTTTTTGTTCCGAGATTTAACAGGGGTCCCCTGAGTTTTACAAGGATTTGCTTTCATACTCATCCAAACCTGGTTACAACTTGTTACAAGTTGTTAGTATTTGCAAAATAGCATCAGTGTGAAATGGGTATAAGACAGTGTATATACAATATTTATTTCAATATCATACATAATCAAATCATTTACTCGGTAAAGTGGTTTTTTTTTTTTTAGCATATAACTCCAACTTTTTTAATTAACTGTCCCATGCATGTAGAAGGATTTGATAAATATAAAAAACATTGAAGTCCTTATTTTATGAAATATTTATAATAATATAAATATAATTAATAATAATGATGATGATAATGTTATTAATAATTATAAGGATAATAAATATATAAATATAATTATAAAAAAAATAATATTCATAATACGATTATTAGTACAGTTACAAAATAAGTAAAAATTAAATTCATAAAAATAGTGCCAAATGATCAACCCACTCTTCTGTTCAAAGAACTTCTCAAATTAATGGCTAACAAGAAGATAAGTACAAGAATCCACAAACTGTGTTAGAAATCATCGGCAGTGGCGTAGGGATAGGCAGTGCAGACTGTGCAAGGGCTGAGGCTATAAGGGCCCATTTCATAATAGGCATAAAAATAATATAGTAATTAAAATTTTTTCCAACTTAATATTATTTGAAGAAAGGCCATGGCAAGCCCCTCAAGGTTTTATTGGGGTACAAATTGTTGATTACTGTGTTCATTTCAGTTGTTTATCCCGTGCCACCGATTTTTTTGCTTATTTTTTTAACTATCTGAAATATGAAGCTATCCAATTACGATTATTATTTACTAGAGTAGGCCAATAGGGGTGGGAGAGAAAGAAGCATTTATTACGATGAATGTTCTGAAACCGTAATAATCAGTATAGTTCTGAAATTTTCATTCTTTAAATTTGAAATACAGCTCGTAAAAATTTAAACATTGGAGCATCTGTAGGGCTTCCCTAAACCACAGGGGCCGTGGACCCTAGAGTGCAATTGGCAGCACCCAAGCCACAGCTCATGCCTAGGCCTCTTCTACGTTTGCATTGTGGCCCGTTGCACCTACCTACGCTGCTGATCATTGGTACATAAAGCCATTTTGGTACATAAAGCAATTTTGGTACAAAAATTGGATGACACAACAAAAAAGAATCTGTTTATCTGCTCTTAACTCATCCTGTCTTTCAAACAGAGCATGAATAATGATGAAATTTAGTATTTAGTTTGACCTACTTATGTTTATAACAGTGCCTATTGATGATGATTCATTAATTGTCTGTGGTCGGTGTTCGTTTGTAATTAATTAATTAGGTAAGCCTGATGTATCAGCTAATTACCTAATCTAAATGGATTAATGTATTTCCTATTGTAAATCCCAATATTTCAATTGCTTTTAATCAAATTTGCAAATGCTTGTAGTTTTATGATTGTATTTTATCTTTTTTCTTCAAAATTTTATGTTATATTGTATAAATATGAAGTACTATCCTCAAGTAGTATCCATTGAAATCAGACAAAGGATGATGTCACTGCTGAGATAAAAGAGAATTAAGATTACAATAAATCCAAAGATTTAACAAATATACTAAAATATACAATTTTATAAATGTTAAAACCAAGAACACAACTACAACATTCCATTTCAACCTCCATAGAATCATTTTTTATTTTAGAATCATAGATTCATTTTGCTTATACAGTATTCCTGTTGTTGCCATGCTTATTTTGATCTTAAGTGGCACACCCATTTCGTAATTGTGGTTAAAAACACTTTGCTACTCTGACACATTACAGTAATGTGTCATTTTTATGTAGTTATTATCAGGAATGAATAACATCAAAACGTATATTTTATCAATATGTATTCAGGCAAATCAAATTACTTTATAAAAAAATTTCAAACAATGATTTAAAAAAGGAAAAGTTATTAAAACTACAGTATAGACTTACTAAACATATATTCCATAAGGAGATATTAATTGCTAATTTAAGCTACTAATCAGCATTTTAACCCCAATGAAAAATGGGTCAATGAGTAACGTCGTGGCACATTTGGCTTCAGAGAATAACGTAGCTACCTTAGCGTAGGCTACTTAGTCTGGGCAAGGCCAAACTGCTATGATCGTGATATGAGTAAATGAAATGTTTGAAATCTTGGCAGAGATATTCTTAGCAAAATAAATGTCTAGCAACATTATCAAAAACTATCCAAATCAAAAGGTATATGACAATCTAAATAAATGAAAAAGTACATGGAAATGTAACCAAATTAAGTACATTTCATGCACTAGGGTGAGACTTTTTTATACCTTGTTTAGTGAACCCACCGTCCGCCAATTAAGATGATTTTGAATAAAAATAAAATTTTATTTTTGGCCAATTAGCATACCCACCACCACAGAAAAACAAAATTTCAGAAAAAATAGAAGTTGAAATCTCCAAAATTAAAGATATATTTCTTCCTAATGTAAAATGTATATCATTTAACCATCCTATATACTACACTGTTTACATTCACCAATAAAATGTTGTTTTTATTTTATCCTCCATTTGGATGTTTTGGCAAAACTATTTACTAAATAAGAAAACAAAATTTAATTTTGATATTTTTTCTGCCCTCCTCTTTTTTCAACAAGGTATAAAAAAAGTGTCTCCTACTAAAAAAAAAATGTAATCACAACAATTCAAAATTGACCTACAGCATGAAGGCATTTGCATGTCATTGAAAAGAATCAAAAATAGTTTCGTAGATTTCAGTTAATCGGAAATGCATAAACAAAATTTACTTGATATGCAACTACATGAAATTCACCATACTCATGGTTAGTCAGTCATTTTAGAAGTATTGCTGACATACAGGTTTTGTTCCTCTTCTGCTTCAGAATGCTGTCAACATTTATGTGGGTTGTTTTTCATCATAATTACTTCGGACTAGCCTTGGGTCTAGTTGAAATACATGTTTTGCTTCTTGTAGTAACTACAAGGACATAAGTGTAGCATGGTTAAGGCTGTGTTCACACACACGGCGTAAGACTGGCGTGGCTTACGCCAGGCGTAAGCTAGTCCACGGATTAAAATTCCAAAGTGTTCACACAAACGGCGTTCGTTAAACTAGCAGTAATATATGCCTATGTGGAGTGGAATAGTTTTCAGTTTTAAATAATGTACGGTACGTGTTAACAGTAGTAAAATTAACAGTGCATCATGAAAACTTTTAAATCTGTGAATTGTTCGAATTGAACTTATATGATTATATTTGTAAAAAATACCACAAAGAAGCCACTGTTTAGCAAAATACATCCCTGTCCCTGCCCAAATCCCCCTTGTTGACCAGTTTACTATTGTAGTAGTATTTTATTTTAACTTCTCACCCGGTTATGACAGTGGTGGCGCCAGTGGGGGGGGGGGGTGCATTTTTCCTACATTGGATGGGCATGGACCTCCCATTGCCCTATGCCATGACAGGGTCTTCGGACCAAAATTATTAATCTGCCTATCCAAAAAAGAATTTTGATTGCTAGTCCCTAATACTGTGGTCTAAAAACACAATTTTGGAACATACTAAGCTATAAAACCATCCCTCCGGGAC